GAGAAGGGAATGCAGACTGAACTTTGTGAATGGGATGCTGTTTTAAAAAGCGCTGCAGAAGTTTCTGTAGAGCAAAGACGTGCGCCGAAATACACCAAGTTTCTAATCACAGGTTTCTGCATGCAGAGTATTTGCCGAAATATTTTAAAATTGCTCTCTAATCACCTAGTTACCAAACACTCCCAGGAGCTGATAAGCATTATCGGGGGCTCTCCTGGGGTTCAGTTGTTGCACACTGGCCACAAGCTGACAGAAGCCTTGGAAGATGGACAGGTTCTGTTTGGCAGGCACAGCTGGATGTTTTTTTTGGTGGGGTGGGCCCGGCCCGCCGCGCACGCCAGCTCCTTACATGGCGGTGTCAGACTCAGCAGGCCTCACCCACCCAGCCCCCGAAGGCACTGGGTTGGAGGTCCTTGGCATCACCAAACTCGGTGCCTCCCTAACAATTAACAACAAAAGGGGTAGAGAAGATGAATCCCCGCCCCTGCTGTGCACCCCCCCTGCCTCCGCTGAAAAGGGCTAGAAATTTCCTTCTCCAGCCTTGGAAGCGGGTTGGTAAGATGACTCCCTGAGGTCCCTTCTGGCCTGGGGGGCTTCGAGTGCCTTTCCTCTCAACCCGCTTCCTTTAAAGTAACTAAAATAGGACACAGAGTTTCTAGACTTGCTCAAGGTCAGCGAGGAAGTTTGTGGTGAACCGTAACCCGAGAATCCCTTGCCTGGCGTCCTCACTCTGCGGCTTAGCCTCTCGGCCACACTCGCCGATGGACCACCGGGCTCTCTGGCGGTTCCTCGCTCCAGCCCCACCCTGTCCGGGCCCCGATATGTCCAGGAGACTCTTCTCCCAGACGCGCCCTCCCCCTGTGAGCCTCACTGAGACTCCACACGGCGTGTTCCGCTTGGGGTGACCTGTGAACAGGGAACAACATCATTGTGGAGAACAGCTGGAGAATAAAATGAAAGACCCAGAAAGGGCCGGGGGCAGACAAATGTCCGAGAAACCAACGTCTTTAAAAACGGTCCGTGCAGAGTCAGCACTCAGGATGCCTTTGGGAGACTTGCTCTCCTTCCCGAAGGATCCAACGCGTAAGCCCTCCCTGGACAGCGTGCTGCAGCCTCTCCGGTCCCACCTACGCCGGCCACCTAGGTCACCAGGAGGCCTCCGGCCAGGCCCTTCCAAAGCCTGCAGCTGCTGACACCACAGAAGACACGTGACCCATGTCCACCGCCCACTCCTCCCGGTCACCCTCACGGCCGAGAAGAGGCCCGGGTCCCGTGGGAGGCTCCCAGCCTGGGAACAGCGGCCGCCGACACTGACTGGGCCCGGTGCCAGGCCCTCTGCCAAAGCTGCGCATTTAACGTCTCATTCCAGTCCTCACCGCCCTGGCAGAGCAGGTTTTATGATCTCCATTTTCTAAAACAAGGGGACTGAGCCTCAGAAAGGAAGCCCTGATACCTCGCTCAAGGTCACAGACCCAAGTTTGAAGCCAAGGCCGTCTCTCCAAAACCACGCTCAAGTCTGCACCGAACTCCAGTGCCAAACAGCTCGCCGACCCGAGTCACGCCATCAGCCGTTTGCACCGGCAGCAGAAGCCGGCACCGGGAGCCCAGTCCCGAGGGGGGCTCTGCTCCACCTGGCTGTGCCCCCCCACCCCCCGCCGGTGTGTCTAGAGGGAGAATTAACGTTCAGACAAGGCATTTTTAACTAGAAGAAAAGCTGACTGGAACAAAAACCCTGTTTCCCCATTATTTAAGCCATTTTCAAAAGAACATAAACAACTTCAAATGCTACATTAGCCCTGGGTCTATTGGGGGTCCCATTAAGCTAAACCATTTTATTGCTCTAAGCATTATGTACATGGTGTGAATTTGACCACTGAAGAAAGCACATAAAAGCACCGGTCCCCGAAAGGTATTTTTCGGAATGTTTGGAGTGTCAAATGTTGGTTTAGTGCTGTGGTCGCAATATTGTTAATTTGCTGATGATGATGTCCAGGTTGGACGTTTGTTTTTCATAATGCGATTGTCAGCAGTGTTTTAATTTATCCACGGAGCAATATTCAGTCTCTGAATTTTTAACACTGTTAATTGCAATAATACTGGTTGAAAATATCACGGAAATGGTAAACAATGAAAACGATGGCTTTTTCCAAACACCTGTCATGCCCAAGAGATTTGCTTACTCATTACCTCCCAGCAGTCCTGCAAGGTGAGGATGAAATTTAATGGTGAACTTGATGAGCTTCCAGAGATCTCAACACGCCTTAGAGTGCTCGCTGGTGCTGGACTCTCTCCCGGGTCCCCGGGCTGAAACCTTGCACAGGGTCACTTAATTACATCATCTCCATCTTTACCCACGAAGTCTGCAGGATTAGCCTTCATTTCAGCTGTGCAAACCAAGACACGGAATTTACCTAGTTTGTACGAGGTGACACATCCAGTAAGTGAAGAAGTCAGGGTCTGAATTCAGATCCCCCGACCCCGCAAGGCAGAATTCTGTCTCCAAGCAGAGTACTGTCTGGATCCTGCTGTGACTGGCGTTTACGTGACCGCCACACCGTCGCGATGGCTTCTTTCTTTCTCCCAGCTCCGTAAGTACTTAAGGCATAAAGATCCCAGCTGGCAGTCCTAGCAAAGAACGTGATTGGTGTTGAAGTAACTTCCCATCTGACCTGATTACTGAGGGAAACGAGGGGGTCAGTGCCAAGTTCACAGACGGGAATGGCCATGCAGCCTGTTTCCTGTAGAATTTTATGTTCAGAGCAGAGTGTCCCAAAAGTGTCTTGTTGCGGGGGAAAAGCCTCAGATCTCACAATATAATAATTTGTCAGCCTCTTGGCAATGTGTCCCTTGCCCATCCTGAGCCTTAAAAGCTTGTCATTTATGGGGCTGTTTCTTTAAGCCGCCAGACTTGCCTGTGGAATATCATTCTAGCAGCTCTCAGGATCTGTCCTCCTCCCACTCACCCGTCCGAGTCCAGTCCGCCCTAGGAAAAGACAATGCTACTTTCTTTCAAAAACCTGCGCCCGCCATTGTTTATTTGTTGCAGAATGGAAGCTCCTTTGCATGTGCGTGATCAAGGCTGGACCGAAGCATGATTTACTTTCATTGATTATGACTGAAGAACGTTAAATCTACCAGCTTCCGTTTTCCAGCGGGCTGTTCCTGGTGTTCGGCATGTCCACGTGGCGTGCCACAGGTCTCTGAGTCCTCGCAAAGATAGATTCTGCACCTGTTAGGCACTAACGCCCCTCTGGCTCCCGCAGCCCTCGGTAACTGCCATTCTCCCTCTCGGTTCTGCGACTTTTGACTGCTTTCCACATTTCCCGTGAGCGGGGTCGTACAGTATTTGTCTTCTTGTAATGAGCCTCGACTGGCTTCTCTCGCCGTACAGTGTCCTCGAGGTTCATCCATTCGGTAGCTCTGATGGGTTTCCTTCCTTTTTTCAGGCTGCATAATATTCCGTTTTGTGTGTGTCTCTGCCATCTTCCTTCAGCCATTCATCCGTGGGTGGACCTGGGGGCTGCCTCCCTCCGTCTCTTGGCTATTGTGACCGATGCTGCAAATGCACACAGGTGGGCAAATACCTCTGTGAGACCCTGCTTGAACCCTTCTGGATGCGCACCCAGAAGTGGCATCGCTGGTTTTACAAGGAACGTCGGTGCCAGGACGCACACTGAACACACCGTGTGGCGTTCGCGCGGACAGTGCCCGAGGGCCCTGGTTTCTCTGCGTCTCCACCGACGCCCCTGGTTGTCCGTTCTTCGGACTGTGGAGTCTCTCTCGTGACTTGTGATATGAACATCCCTTTCCGTACTTCCTGGTCACTGGTGTCTTCTTTAGAGAGTCCTGTAGGCGCACCCTGTACCCATTTCGACTGGATTATTCAGGTTTTTATCGAGTTGCCGTTTCAGAGCTGTGGGGCTTTCTTGCACGTTACCAGACACGTGACTGTCCAGTGCTTCTCCCCGCCCGCGGGCTGTGTGTTCATCCGGTGCGTTGTTTCCTCCGATTCGCAGACTCTTCCCATCTCATGAGTCCCCTTTGTGGACATTTGCTTTTGTCGCCTGCGCTTTGGGCCTCGTTTCCAAGAAGTCAGGACAGAGCCAGCGTTCTGAAGCTTCCCCGTTCTCTTCTCGGAGTCTCTCGGTGTCAAGTCTCACGTTTAGGACTTTCCTCCGTTTAGTTAACTTTTATGGACAGTGCCAGGTGAGTCTCACTTCATTCGTTTGCACGTGAAACCCAGCGCCACCTGCTGAAGACAGTGTCCTCTCCCCGCCAGGCAGGTTGGGCCCTGTCCCCCGAGACCGTTGGGTCTTGTGCGGAAGAGTCCGCCGCCGCGCCCTCCGCCCCTGGGCCGCACCGCACGTCTGCCTTCAGGCATCACGGTCGTCACTGGCGCCTTGTGTGTGTCCTGCTGTGGGGGGTCTTGAACGTCGCTCTTTTTCCAGACAGCTTTGGGTATTTGGGGTCCCTTGAGATTCCATAGGAATTTAAGATTTTCCTGTTTCTACAAAATTTGCATCGAGGTTTTAACAGGGATCGCACTGACTCTCTAGGTCCCTTTTGTGCTGTGGCGTTTTAGTGACACTGAGTTTTCTGATCCACGAACATGGGTGTCTTGCCGTTGATTTGTAAATTTATTTCTTCCAGAGAGGTTTGAAGTTTTCAATGTGAAGTCTTCTGCCTCCCTGGTTAATAAGTTTTGTCTTAAATATTTTATTCTTCTCGATGCTGTTATAAATTGGATTGTCTTCTTAACTGCCTTTTTGGATTGGTCATTGTTAGAATACAGAAACACAACTGATTTTTGTGTGTTTGTTTTATATCCTGGGACTGTGCTGAGATCATCGATTTGTTTTAACCGTTTGAGGAGGGGGTTTTTTGAGGGGCAGCTTTAGTGTTTTCTACAAATGAGATCACATCATCTACAAACAGGCAGTTTAACTTTTTCCTTTCCAATCTGATGTCATTTATTTTCCTTATTTAATTGCTCTGGCTAGGACTCCCAGTACTGAGTTAAACAGAAGTGGCTAGAGCCGGCGTCTGTCCAGAGTTCCTGATCTTAACAGGTAACCTTCCGCTCTTCCTCCAGTAAACAAGCTTACCTGTCAGTTTCTCGTATATGGTTTCTGTTACATTGAGGCAGTTTCTTTTTATTCCTAGTCTGTTGAGTGTTTTTATCACAAAAAGGGTGTCAAATCTTCTCAGATGCTTTTTCTGCATTAGAGACATTGGTCTCCAGTTTTCTTTGTGTGACAACGGGCTTCCTTTTAAACACTTGGTGAGAAGCTCCGGACACACGCCTCGTGTTCTCGATGCACAGAATGGTTTAAGAATTCTTCAGAGCTCTGTCGTATGTGTGACGTCACATTCGGACACTGGGCTGAGGACATGTGCTAAGTGGAGTTCAGAGTGGGACCCAGTGGGAACATCTTCCGCGCTCCCTGCGGAGCGGAGCGCGGGTCAGGAAGAGGACGATGTCGTCCCCGTGTCCGACACGGTGTCTGAGACCTGTGCTCGTGTGTCAGGTGGTGTGTTTTTCTGCCTGTCTACTTGTTTGAACGGGTGTGTGTGTCGGAGAGAAATTTGGGCATCGCAGTACAATTGCCTCAGATCATCTCACTTAAACTGAAATGGAGGCGCTACTCGCGCCAGTATTCAAAGTGTAACCCCTTAAAAAACATTTTTTCAATAGTAACAAATTCTTTGGGGAGTTCAACTAATATATGTTTCACTCCTTGCTATATGTCCTTAAATTTTAAAAAATCACACCATGAGAATTCATTGGAATTCCACGCCCGAGTTGCGAAAAGGAGCTTTAGTCGTCTGGGTTTCTGTTCTGAACGAAGATGAGGGGGCGTCACGTGGCGGCGTCTGCCTCGCCGCACACCGACCTCGGCCCCTGTGCCCGAGTCGGGGCCATTTAGCTGGAAACAGAGTGACGGACGTGCGCGGGGCCGACAGTGACGTTCGGAGCAGTTACGCCCTGAGCGGGGTCTCCTCTGACGGAACGCCCTGCCGAAGTGCGGAGGGTCGGCTGTGTCGGCCCGGTGGGGGAGGAGGACGCCCGCGTCCCCGCCCGAGGAGGGCAGGGTCGCCTCTGCTCCGTGCCGCCGGGCCTGCACCTCGAGGCTCGCGGAGAGGCTGCCACGTTAGAGCAGTCCTTTGACTCGCGTGTTCTGTGAAAGAGAACACACCTAGGACCCTTCCCCCTGCCGAAGCACGACCATCACGGGCGTTGAGGACGGGCTCCTTGTGGCCCTCCACCTCTGGGGCACTCGCAGGGGCAACTCTGTCCTACAGAGAAGGACGAGACGGCAGCAGCTGAGATGGACGCCAGCTCGCCCTGCGCCCAGCAACCGGCTGTAAACGCGTCACAGGCTCGTGTCACGAATCCTTGCAGGAAGCTTGGGGGGCAAAGAGGACGCTAGTCACCAACGTCCCCGCGGCACTCCACACTGAGGTTTACTATGGAAAGACAAATGTCGGGCGACCCGAAGTGCTGCTGGTGACTGGCCGCGTCTGCGGACAGCAGCGCCCACTCTGGGACCCGAGAAAGGCAGAGCCGTGACCCACCCATGTCGTCTCTGCCATCAGCTGAGCGGCAGCCCTCCGTCCTCCACAGGCCAAATGAAACCCCACTCGTGAGGGACCAGGCTCCAGCCCCCACCCCCCGGCACGTGTCGTCCCACAGCCACCGAGTAGCTGCGCCTGTGAGACGGAGGTCGCTCACTCACGCCCCGCCGAGAGCTCCACGCAGCTTCCCGTCCCCTCGGCAGCGTGGGACCCGCCCTGCGTGGGAGCTGGAGAGGCTCAGCCTTCAGCTGTCACAGACTGCGTTCCCTGTGTCCCAGGTCTGCAGTCACCCAGCGGACAGTGACAGTGCCACAGGCTGGAGGAAGCTGTCCACGTGATGTTTACGTACACATGTGCTTGTTTACTTTTTTAGATTTTGTTTATTTGTTTTTAGAGAGGGGGAGGGAGGGAGAAAGAGGGGGGAAACATCAATGTGTGCTTGCCTCTCAAGCACCCCCAGCAGGGGACCTGACCCTCAACCCAGACACAAACCTGGGTTGTTTTAGTCTGGTGGACCGAACTTTTAGTCCGGTTTGTTTTGGTCTGGCAAGTGTGACTCAGCTCTGTGTGGGAAACCTACAGAAGCGAAGTGGTGAGCAAGAGCCAGACCTTCAAACCGAGTTTCCCTGGGGGAATCAGGCCTAGAAAATGCACACAGACTGTTATGGCTTGCTCTTGCTAAAACTCCATCACCCCGGTCTAAAACAACAAATGTGTGTTGTCTGTCTTCAAGGTAACTTCCAAAGCCTGTGTGAGCTCTCCCAAGGACAGAGCTAATCAGCTCATCGCCATCCCCCTCTGCATGCTATTTTCATTTCCTTGATTGTACCTAGAATGTAGACAATAATATTCTATGTGATAGATAATAAATCTTTCTCTGATGTAAGACCCCAGGAAAACAGTAAAAGCCTGTCTAGGCAAGGGTCGGGGCGCTCCCCTCTGGAGGGAGTGGCCGAGGCACCATAGGCACTCTCCCCGTGAGAGAGTGGTCGTGCCTGTTCCCTTTTTTCCCACGGGATTGTTGTCACCTGTGCATTCATTCTAATAGTCAGCCACAACAGGCGGACTCTGCTGGCCAGGGTCCGCCACAGGGGGAAAAAGAGAGGGAGAGAACATCAATGCGTGGTTGCCTCTCAAGCGCCCCCAGCGCGGGGCCTGACCCCCAACCCAGACACATACCCTGAGTTGAGGAGTCAAACCGGTGACCTTGTGGATTTGGGGGACGACGCTCCGTCCACTGAGCCACGCCCAGCCAGGACTCTGCACGTTTGGGTTTCTAGTGAAGACCAGCAGTTGCGGTAGAACAGAGTCCTTTTACCGTGTTATTCAGTCATAATCTGACGTGGCTGTTAGAATACAAGAGAAGTCAGTTTTGTCCTTTTCCGGTTGTAGTGAATTAATTTTCTGCATCAGAATAGTCAAGCTAAAGCCCTGGCTGGTGTAGCTCAGTGGATTGAGTGCGGGCCTGCAAACCAAACAACCACGGTTCGATTCCCAATCAGGGCACATGCCTGCATTACAGGCCAGGTCCCAGCAGAGGATGCACGAAAGGCAACCATACATTGATATTTCTCTCCCTCTCTCCTTCCCCTCTAAAGATAAATAAATAAAATCTTTAAAAAAATAATAGTGAAGCTGGAAAGACACCGGCTTTTGAAGCCAGTGTGTCTGCAGGATGTTCCGTTTGGAAAGAATGGTAGGGACCAGATGACGTCATTAAAATGTAACTTAGGGGAACCAGCCTGCAAGTCTCTAACACACTGCCTATCGTGGTTGGCTTTGACCTTCTAATTTTTTTTGGTACCGTAATATCTGTAGTTTCTACAGTGACTTTTGTTTTTAAAAACTGACATCTGTGGGTGTTCCTGAGTGTCCCTATTAAGCCGTGTGTGTGTGTGTTACCCAGTCATATGAGCAGCCCCAATTTACCAGTAAACGTGGAAACTAGTTTCGGGTGTGAGTGGAATACAGTGGATGCCCTGTGGTTCCAAAGCTCCTGAACATCCCGCTACTTGATTTGCAAGGGACTGTGCCTTTTCAGGGGACCGGAGAAGGGCTGTGATGTCGAAGTCTCAGGAATAGACGTAACATCTGTCCCCGTCTAATTTGCAGGCACACGGCAGACTGGGACCCCCGTGCCGCCCAGCCGTGGGCATGCCGGGGACCGAGGAACACAGCTGAAAGACGCCCGAGTACTCCCCGCCTTTTGCAAACTCCAGAAGACCATCTCTTCGGATTCTGGAATTTTCCACGTCGCCACTGAGACTCTGCTTGAATGTTTACCTTCCCCGCGGGCTCTCCCAGACGTCGCTCTCGAGCGTCCACCTTTCGGTAAAACGTGCGCGGGCTGAGCCGGCTCGGCGGGCCGGCATGGCCAGGATGAGGTCGGTTGGCGCAGCCTCCCGCCTGGTGCTGGGCCTGCTGATGACTTCCTTCTCCGGATCTTCCCTGCAAAGCAGTGAGTGCCCGCAGCTCTGCGTGTGCGAAATCAGGCCCTGGTTCACCCCACAGTCCACGTACCGGGAAGCCACCACCGTGGACTGCAACGACCTGCGGCTGACGCGGATCCCCGGCAACCTCTCCAGCGACACGCAGGTGCTGCTCCTGCAGAGCAACAGCATCGCCAAGACGGCGGACGAGCTGCAGCAGCTGTCCAACCTGACGGAGCTGGACTTCTCGCAGAACAACTTCACCAGCATCCGGGAGGTGGGGCTGGCCAACCTGAGCCAGCTCACCACGCTGCACCTGGAGGAGAACCAGATCTCGGAGATGACGGACTACTGCCTGCGGGGCCTCGGCGGCCTGCAGGAGCTCTACGTCAACCACAACCAGATCAGCGCCATCTCCGCCAAGGCTTTCGCCGGCCTGAGAAACCTGCTGAGGCTGCACCTGAACTCCAACAAGCTGAGAGTGATCGACAGCCGCTGGTTCGACTCGACGCCCAACCTGGAAATCCTCATGATCGGGGAGAACCCGGTGATTGGGATTCTGGACATGAACTTCAAACCCCTCTCCAACCTGAGGAGCCTGGTTCTGGCGGGAATGTATCTCACCGAGATTCCCGGCAACGCCCTGGTGGGCCTAGACAGTCTGGAGAGCCTGTCTTTCTATGACAACAAATTGGCCAGGGTCCCCCAGCTCGCGCTGCAGAAAGTCCCCAACCTGAAGTTCTTAGACCTGAACAAAAACCCCATCCGCAAGATCCAGGAAGGGGACTTCAGGAACATGCTGCGGCTGAAAGAGCTGGGGCTCAACAACATGGGCGAGCTGGTGTCCGTGGACCGCTACGCGCTCGACAACCTGCCCGAGCTCACCAAGCTGGAGGCCACCAACAACCCCAAGCTGTCCTACATCCACCGCCTGGCGTTCCGCAGCGTCCCCGCCCTGGAGAGCTTGATGCTCAACAACAACGCCCTGAACGCGGTCTACCAGAAGACGGTGGAGTCCCTGCCCAACCTGCGCGAGATCAGCATGCACAGCAACCCGCTGCGGTGCGACTGCGTCATCCGCTGGGTCAACTCCAACAAGACCAGCATCCGCTTCATGGAGCCCCTGTCCATGTGCTGCGCCCTGCCGCCCGAGTACCGGGGCCAGCAGGTGAAGGAGGTCCTCGTCCAGGACGCCGGGGAGCAGTGCCCCCCCATGATCGCCCACGACGCGCTCCCCAGCTACATGAATGTGCAGGTCGGCACGACGGTCCTGCTGGACTGCCGGGCCATGGCCGAGCCGGAGCCCGACATTTACTGGGTCAGTCCCCTGGGAAGCAAGATAACCGTGGAAACGCTTTTGGACAGGTACAAGCTGAGCGGCGAAGGCACCTTGGAGATACCTGACGTACGAACGGAAGATTCGGGAAGGTACACCTGTGTCGCCCAGAATGTCGAAGGGGCAGACACTCGGGTGGTGACAATTAAGGTCAACGGGACCCTCCTGGATGGCACCCAGGTGCTGAAGATATACGTCAAGCAGACAGAATCTCACTCCATTTTAGTGTCCTGGAAGGTCGACTCCAATGTCATGACGTCTAACCTGAAATGGTCGTCCGCCACCATGAAGATCGACAACCCACACATCACGTACACGGCCCGGGTCCCCGTGGACGTCCACGAGTACAACCTGACCCACCTGCAGCCTTCCACGGATTATGAAGTGTGCCTCACCGTGTCCAACATCCACCAGCAGACTCAGAAGTCATGTGTGAACGTCACCACCAAGAGCGCTGCCTTCGCCCTGGCCATTTCCGATCAGGAGACCAGCACCGCCCTGGCGGCCGTGATGGGGTGCCTGTTCGCCATCGTCAGCCTCGCGTCTGTGGCCGTGTACGTCGCCAAAAGGTTGAAGAGGAAAAACTACCACCATTCATTAAAGAAGTACATGCAAAAGACCTCTTCCATCCCGCTGAACGAACTGTACCCACCGCTCATTAACCTCTGGGACGGCGACAACGAGAAGGACAAAGAGGGCTCTGCAGAGACCAAGCCACCCCAGGTGGACACGTCCAGAAGCTACTACATGTGGTGACTCGGGGGGCGCTTTGCTTCTGGTAGCAAGGAGCACAAAGACGTTTTTGCTTTATTCTGCAAAAGTGACGAGTGGAAGACTTTTGTATCCTGACTCTGCTCGCCGGCGGCAGTGTGGAGAGGATGGGTGGATCTTTAGATTTTTTTTTTTTTTTTAGTAGAGCGTATCGCAAGAGTTTGACACAGCTGGCAGCGCCCCTGGGCTTCCAGGGTGTGTTGGGTTTTCTTATCGTTATTATCATTATTATGATATTATTCTTTTGTCTTAGTTTTTGTGCTAAACTCAGCAATGCTATTCTGACTGCAGTGCTCAATAAAATGATGAATGACAGGTCGGGTCGCCTGTGCTTTTACCGGGAAGCGGCACCCCTTCCTCTGCAGCCGCCGGCAGAGAGCACCGTGTCCCCCCCAGCGGCCGACCTACAGGTGGGACGCGGCGCTGAACCTTCAGAGTGATCGGCCTCCAGACTTTGAACCCCAGAAGCGGAGGCTCGACTCGCCGCCTCCTTTGAATGACGTTAGTTGACTGTTCCGTAATGTTGTACCAACTGAATTAGATGTTTGCCTTTGAACAACAACTTTTTTCTCTCTTTTCTTTTTGTAATAGTTAAAGAGGCTTAGACCAAGCTAACAGGCAATAGAAATATGTATATCAAATTTTTTAATGTAACAAACTACATGTTAATTGTTACTGTCTTCTTTTTACCTTTAGTAGACACTTTTAAAAGAAAAGACAATAATTTTGTTGTGTTTAACTCACCCACATGCGGCGTATAATGAAGGCAGCACTATAATAAATTAGTTTTCTTCTGGTTTTCTAGACCTTTGCAATGACGCAATGCTTTCTTTCTCTCACTGGGGGTGGGGGCCGTGGTTTTCACACCCCCAAAGTAGACCACTGACCTAGACCAGCGAAACATGAAAAATGAGGCGCAAAAACGTTGCGAATTCTTTTTGTAGGGGGAGAACTATTTCTGTTAATGAAGATATTTTAATGAAGAGGACTGCTAAATTTCAAATATTACTGACCAGACCTAACACAGGGAAAAGTCCATGTGAAGAAAAAAAAAAAGGATATCACCGTGTCCTCACAGCAAGAAAAGAGAGAGGTGGGGAGAGAGAGGCTGCCCTCCCGTTCTGCATGGGCTCTGATAAAATCTGACTTCTCAGGAGCCTCAGCCACACTCTCCATCAAAGTCGAAAACACGGCATTAGGGCGAGTCCCTAACGTGTTACCTGTCACTTCCTTTTTAATGGCTGTCTGCCTGCTCAGGCCCACGTCAGCCCACGCGGGTCTGGACAGGAGAGTGATGAGTAGAACACAGGAGTTCCTGTACCGCTGGCATTTTCCGCCCGAAGGACAGACGGGCACACTTTTGCAGGATCACATTTCCTGGGAAGGTGTGTGTGAGATTCAGAGGAGGCAGGTGTAGTCCGGAGGCCGGTTCTGGGGGTGGGAGGCCAGGGGCAGGAGTGGGTGTAGAGGTGTCGCCCCAGGGGAGAGCGCCCCTCTGAACCGCGAGGGAGAAGCAGAGCCGTGCACAGTGCAGCGGGCAGTCCTGCCGCCGGGACTGCCACCACAGCTGGGACAACAGCTCGGAGAGGGGCAGGGGCCAGAGGGGCCAGCCCAGCCGCAGGGGGAGGGGGAGAAAGGGTGGGCGAGGGCGGGCGAGGGGTTCTTTCTGTACTAACTTCCTCGTCTCGGGAGTCACTCAGAACGGCCACCAAAGGTGGCCCTTTCCTTCCCGTGTCTAAAGGAAAGTGGACTTCAGATGCCGAAGCAAGTGGCTGGCAGCAGGAAGACCACGCGCGGAGCATCCCTTTTCACAGGCAGTGCTCCTTGGCTGGGAGGGAACCCTGGGCGGGGGCGAGGCGGGGACCGGCCCATCAGACCGGCCTGCCTGCCGGGGCCTCTGCCCTCCGCCCAGGCTGCGCCCCGCGGCCTCCAGGGTCACACGGGCGCCCACTCGCAGCGACCTGGGCTGGCCCCTGCGTGCTGGTCAGCATCAGCACCAGGGCGACCGGAGGGTCAGCCAAACGGTCCCCTGGGGCTGCTGCTGGGAAACGCCCTGAGGGCACACGGAGGATGGGAGACGCCTGGCCCGACTCTGGGGCTCCCATGGGGGTTCTCGCCTCCACGAATCTACAGAGAGCAGTGGGCGGCCGGACAACGGGCTGCTACTCTGCGAGAGGTGCCAGGCGACTGACCCCAGAGCGTCGGGCCAGGGCCGGGGAGGGGGCACCCTTCAGACCCAGAGTCACTGCCGTGGCCCTGGCAGACAATCGTCACTCAAAGGTGAGGGGAAAACGAAGGAAGGCGACCATCTGTCTGCTGGGGGTACAGGGCGGGCCCCAGGAGATCCAAGGGTCGGTGCCAACTGCCTTTTCCCAGGCCAGTGTGGGGAGGAAATACCTCTTTTAACTTATTCCCCTGCAGTAAACTATTTTAGCTTCTGTTTCCTCGCCCGAGCTAGTTGGTTTGCTCTTTCAGTTGAGAGAAAGCAAAACGGCCTGGTGCTTTGCTCCCGAGCCGAGCCCTTCCTCCCGTGCACTTCATTTAACGTGAGGAGCTGGACACGGGGGCAAGACCTGCCTGGCCACGGGGGCCCCGCGCCTCCCAGGACAGCGGTGAGTGCAGGCCACCATCTAATGTCAGGGCGGGTAACGAAGGTATACGAGACCTGCATCCTGACGTGACGGGGTCATTTGGGGAGCAGGGTCTTAACGCAGGCCTTCCCAAATGTGCCCATTGAATCTGAGACAAAGTACATGGATACGTGAAAATAAAAACAGATGCAGTGTTTGATTGCCAGTTTTCCTAATTTCGCAGTATCCATTTCACAGGAATTTCAGTTCCTCAAACAGTGTAACGTCCGTTGCATTCTCTCACGTGGTTTGATAGCTGCTTACTCATTACTCAGCTATGCGTTCATTTGCGGAGGCAGCACCCCCCACCCTTTGCCGGGCGGCTGCGTCCGAGCCCTGTATCCAGGGTCTGCTGCGTTTTCCTGCCTTCCTGCCTGCTTCTAGCCGGTGGGGAAACACCATTTGGTGCCCCGACCATGTCGCCAGGAAGACCACACTTTGCGCCTTTCTGTTCACGGAGAGGGGGCGCTAGCTCCTTGTGGCACGTTCTAACCGCAACTGAAAGCACTGTTTCCACCTCCGTTCCCTCCCTCTCACCCCCCACTCACCGGGGGCTCATTTCACATTTCTTCGTAAGGGGTTAGATGGAGGGAAGGTGTTGGAATCGGAGTCCCTGCCGGACTGGTCCCATCTGGCCTGGACGTGCCCCCCCCCTGCGGCCCGCCTGCCCCAGGGACCCTGATCCTGGCTTCTGGCTGTGCCCCAGGTCAGGGACTGACGGTGAGAGTGGGCAGAGGGCAGGAGCCTTCAGCATTTTCATACCCGCTGGTCCAGGCCGGCCGGCGCAAGTTCACAGAACCAAGTGGGTTCTGGGAGAAGGCGGAGACTCCACGGCACTGACAGAGGGAGCATGACAGTCCACAGCACGGTACCGTGGGACATGGAGGGTACCATTTTGGGCCGCAGACCCTGAGAATCGGGAGGTTTAATTCATCCCCAGACCATCCGGATCCAGCGGGGAACATGCTTCCCAGTCCACAGGCGAGGAGACGGAGGCCCACTGGTGTGGTCATGTGCCAGCCCCCAGGACGGCCGGGAGGGGTGGCCGATGGGCACCGCCTCCCAGAGCACTTCCCCCATGAGGAAAGCACACTGTGGGTGCTAACTGAGCACATGCCCCGGCGTTCGTGTCCCTCCTGTTAGAACACTGAGCACTTCCAGTGGCCGGATTTCGCCCAGACTCACTCTAACCAGGCGGGTGCTCCCCCATCGTGAGATGGGTCCCGTCGGCCACTCATCTGAAATGACTGTCGCCGTGACGTCTGCTCACCGGAGATTCTGGAGGATCTATGAAGGCAAAGGATTGTGTAATTCCCCAACTCCAAATGACCACAGGCGATTTTGGTGTCTGTCCAGTCTTTTCCCTCCGTGGCACATCTACACGTGTGCATACACACGTGTATGCTCATAAAAGCGTGCATCTCTGGGAGCGTAGGACCAGAGTCCTGGTGTGCATGGTGGTGTGCGCTGGGTTTCTTTCCCTTCGTGCAAAAAATAAGCATCTTCCCACATCGCTGCATCTCCTCGGGGAGCGTGGTGCTGAAGTCGGTGCAGCCCCCTGTCCTCGGAATCAGGCAGTGCTGTGACAGCGCCCTCCTCTGGGACATTTCCTCTTCTGCATTGAGCCCCAGGGGCCTGAAAACCGACCCGCGGCGCCCCTGTTCCCCACGGCGCGGGCACGGAGGAGGAGGCCTCTGGTGGCCACGTCACAGCTTGGCCCCGGCTGCCCTGCGTTGGGCGCAGCTTGGACGGTGCAGACAGCCAGCCAGGGTCTCCAGGACCCCGGTGCAGCGCACGGGGCCACACACAGAGTGCGCTCTGCGTGACAACCAAGCGCTGCCTCTGCTGAGGGTCTCCCGACAGGCTTGCGGATGCGTGGACGTCGGAGACGCCATTACAGGCCACCTAGTCCCATGCCCCTCTTTTGCATGCGCACAAACGGGGACCTTGGGGACCAGGGGCCATCAGCTTGGCTGAGGTCTCCCGAGCAGTGCGGGTAGAGCGGCTGAGGCGGGAGCTCACCCCAGTTTTCCTGCCTTGCGTCACCAGGCTGTCGAGGACGGACCATCCCTGTCCACCTACTGTTCAACCGCGAGAGGCGTCCTTTCGGCCCCGTGACGTGTCTGGGAAGTCCCGGTCTGCCCTGAGCCCCGCACCTCGCCTGGACCGACGGGGCCAAGAAGAACCACAGGCCTCCCCTGTTGAGCCCATGTTGACTCTTCTTGAAAAAAGACAGTTTTTTTTTTCCAAATGAAGGGGACTTCATCTTTTTTTCTGCCATCTCATAAAAGAACAGTATGGCAAAGATAGAAATCACCCCTCGGAATTTTTTCAAATCCCGAAGCTCTCTGCTTCCCATGCGGTCATTTTTAACCTGGGCCTTGAAGGGACCGGCGGTGGCCGTGGGGAAGAAAACCAGCCTGCGGAGAGCGGCCCCCACACAGAACCCCCAAACCAGCTTCCACTCGCAGCCCCGAAAGCCCGCCTGCGTGTCCCTGAAGCCCTCAGGCTCCACGCTCAAAGGCTCCTGGAACCTCACAGACGCACTTCTGAGGACTTTCAGTTTAGGGTGAAACCAGGTCCAGGAAGGGAACCTGCGACCTGTCACTCTTTGGGACAACATCCACCCAACCAAGACGCATCTGTCAGGGCCAGTGAGAATATTACTTACTTTCAGGCAAAGTTTGAATGCCACAAATAAAGTTCCCTATCATCTTAACACTTTAAAAATCTCTTCAAATATTAATTTTACTGTGTGTAGACAGGATGGAGGTCGTCAATTTTCCCCGTTAGGGACCAGCGGCCTGCTCGGGGGGTTATTGCTCCTGGGGGTCACTGTCATTGCTCAGGGGTTCCTGCCTCGTCCCCGAGGTGCACGGAAAGGAAGATGCCGACCTCGGGTCTCAGCCGCCCAAGTGGGAGGCAGAGGAGCACCCTTGACTCAAGTGCTGCCGCCTGGCCCTCGGTGGGTGATCAAGGCCTCTCAGCGCTGGAGAGGAGAGCGGGAATGGCTTCCGGAAGCATCTAGAGGGGAGGTCCCTTGCGACGGGGCTTCAGAAAGTGAGAGACGTCTGAACTGGTGAGAGAGGGAAGAGCGTGAGGAAAAGCCGGGCGAGTGCAAAGGCGAACCCGGGGCCCCCGCAGCAGGAACC